TGCATAACCCCGGCGGAGAGAAGACTCTAATCATTAATAAACAGTACATCCTTTACAATTAGAATATTAATTCAAACTTCTTCACATAAGAACATAATATTAAATTATTACAAAATATTAGAAATTACACAGAAGCAAAATAATTCACATCAAATGTAAAAAAAATATTACAAAGGACATACTCTACATTTCTTAACTTTCTTTCCTTCAAAAACGGCTCTTGCAACGGTTACTGATACAGAATGAATATACAGCACACTTCTTAATATTTTGTAAATACATTGACATATGTAACAGTTGAGTACGTGTGTAGTACTGTGCATGTGTTGGAGCATAGTGTGTGGGAAGTACCGGTGTGTGTTGAGTACTGTATGTTGGAAGTACCATGTATGTGTGTGTGTGTGTGTGTTGAGTACTGTGTGTGGGTTGGAGTACCATGTGTGTTGGAGTGCTGTGCGTGCTTAATTTTGAGAGCTGGAGTACAGTGCGTGCTGGAGTATTTGTGTGTTGGAGTACAGTGCGTGCTGGAGTATCGTGTGTGTTGGAGTACTGAGTGTGTTGGATTACTGAGTGTGTTGGAGTATTGTGTGTGGTGAGAGTGTGTTGGAGTACTGTGTGTGTGTTGGAATACTGAGTGTGTTGGCGTACTGTGTGAGTTGGAATACTGAGTGTGTTGGAATACTGAGTGTGTTGGAGTACTTTGTGAGTTGGAGTACTGAGTGTTGGAGTACTGTGTTGGAGTACTGAGGTGTTGGAGTACTGAGGTGTTGGAGTACTGTGTGTGTTGGAGTACTGTGTGTGTTGGAGTACTTGTGTGTGTGTTGGAGTACTGTGTGTGTTGGAGTACTAGGTGTGTTGGAGTACTGAGTGTGTTGGAGTACTGTGTGTGTTGGAGTACTGTGTGTGTTGGAGTACGCTGGAGACGTGTGTTGGAGTACTGTGTGTGTTGGATATGTGTGTTGGAGTACTTTGTGTGTTGGAGCACTGAGTGTGTTGAGTACTGTGTGTGTTGGAGTACTGAGTGTGTTGGAGTACCGTGTGTTGGAGTACACCGAGTGTGTTGGAGTACTGTTTGTGTTGAGTACTGAGGTGTTGGAGTACTGCGTGTGTTGGAGCAATTGCGGTGGTTGGAGTACTGCGTGTGTTGGAGTACTGGAGGTGTTGGAGTACTGAGTGTGTTGGAGCACTGAGTGTGTTGGAGTACTGCGTGTGTTGGAGCACTGGTGTGTTGGAGTACTGAGTGTGTTGGAGTACTGTTTGTGTTGGAGTACTGAGTGTGTTGGAGTACTGAGTGTGTTGGAGTACTGTTTGTGTTGAGATCACTGTGTGTGTTGGAGTACTGCGTGTGTTGCAGTACTGTGTGCATTAATATATATTGCACAGTATCATATTTTATTAATCACACTGCCAATGAACTGTTATTGAATAAAAGACAAATACATGACTACTTCATAATCTCCTTAGCTCAAAGTTCATGGTATTAAATTTTCTAAACTGGTTGGTAGTGCCATCCTAACCATTTTTTTGTGACCATGATTTATCAGATACTTATTACTTAAACATTAAAAGTGTCACAGTATTGGACAGTGTTAGACTTTACCAGTACGCCAGCAGGACCCGTGAAAGCTTACGGCACAAATGTATAATCAGAATCAAAACCTTCGTCAATAATAATGACCACGTTATATATTACTCAACTTCAACACTGACAACGTTTTTGACATTGATGTGTAAAATTTATTTACTACTAGAAATTAAAATAGAATATATATGTTTTAGAAGTAATCACGATTGTAATCATGCAACTAATTGCAATCGAATATTTTTGTATCCGTCATCGTATTCAAAAGTGTGGCAAGTTATCATAATCAAACATTGCCCATGTAATTTTATCATATCTGATCTGTGTGTGTGTGTGTGTGTGTGTGTGTGCAAACTGAGACAGTGAAGAATACTAAAACGTAGTGTTAGAAAGAGAGATGAGGAAGAGAAAGTGGTGAATACTGACTTTTAGTAATAGAGCCAAAGATATTGAGACACACACAGGCAGAGAACCTGGGGAATACATATAAGGATCACACATGACACACACAAGTCAACATCAGGCGACACAGATATTGGTGTATATCATCCACTGGGGAAAATTTTTTCTTTACAGAGGTAGTGCAACTGACGTCATACATCACGTGGACAGGCTAGTAATGGACGGTCACTCTCCTCACCAAATATTTACCAAGGCCGTGCAATACCGTCTAGCTGAGTACACAAACACAAAGAGTGACAAACACAATACTGAACATAACTAAAGGAGACGTAAAGACTGGAGGCACACTGTAAAGACTGGAGGCACACTGTAAAGACTGGAGGCACGCTCCAAAGACTGGGGGCACACTGCAAAGACTGGGGCACACTGCAAAGACTGGAGACACACTGCAAAGACTGGAGCCTGTACCAAAGACTGGAGCACCTTACTGTAAAGACTGGAGGCACACTGCAAAGACTGGGGGCACGCTGCAAAGACTGGGGGCACGCTGCAAAGACTGGGGCACGCTACCAAAGACTAGGGGCACAGCCAAAGACTGGGGCACACTGCAAAGACTGGGGGCACACTCCAGGGCCTAGAGACTACACTACAAGACTGAGGGCCTCTGCAAAGACTTCAAGAACACCTGCAAAGACTGGGGGCACGCTGCAAAGACTGAGACCACACACTGCAAGACTGGGGGCACACTGCAAGACTGGGGAGCACACTGCAAGACTGGAGGCACACTGCAAAGACTGGGGCACACTGCAAAGAGATGAGGGGAGCACACTGCAAGACTGGGGGCACACTGCAAGACTGGAGCACACTGCAAAGACTGGAGGCACACTGCAAGACTGGAGGCACACTGCAAAGACTGGAGGCACAGCTGCAAGACTGGAGGCACACTACTGCAAGACTGGAGGCCACTGCAAAGACTGGAGCACACTGCAAAGACTGGAGCACACTGCAAAGACTGGAGCACACTGCAAAGACTGGAGACACGCTACCAAAGACTGGGGGAGCACCCTGCAAGGACTGGAGGCAGCTGCAAGACTGGAGGCACGCTGCAAAGACTGGAGGCCTGCTAAAGACTGGAGGCCGCTGCAAAATGAGCGCTAAAGACTGGAGGCACACTGCAAGACTGGGGACACTCCAAAGACTGGGAACTGCTAAGGAAAGGATGGGGCACTCTGCAAAGTGGAGGCACCTGCAAAAAGACTGGAGCACGCTGCAAAGACTGGAGGCACACTTCAAAGACTGGAGGCCAAGCTGCAAAGACTGGGGCACGCTGCAAAGACTGGAGCACACTGCAAAGACCTAGGCACACTCCAAAGACTGAGCACACTACCACTGCAAAGACTGGAGGCACACTGCAAGACTGAGCACACTGCAAAAGACTGGGGGCACACTGCAAGACTGGAGCACACTGCAAAGACCCCAGGAGCACACTGCAAAGACTGGAGCACACTGCAAAAGACTAAACCTGAAGCAAAGACTAGAGGCACGCTGCAAGACTGAGGGGCACACAGCAAAGACTGGGGCACACTGCAAGACTGGGGGCACACTGCAAGACTGGGGGCACTGCAAAGACTGGGGCACACTGCAAAGACTGAGACGCTGCAAAGACTGGGGGGCACACTGCAAGACTGGGGGCACTGCAAGACTGGGGGCACACTGCAAGACTGGGGCACACTGCAAGACTGGGGCACACTGCAAGACTGAGGCACACTGCAAGACTGGGACACACTGCAAAGACTGGGGGCACCTGCAAGACTGGAGCACACTGCAAGACTGAGGCACTGCAAGGACAGGGGGCACACTGCAAGACTGGGGGCACACTGCAAGACTGGAGGGCACACTGCAAGACTGGGGGCACACTGCAAAGACTGGGGGCACACTGCAAGACTGGGGGCACACTGCAAAGACTGGGGGCACACTGCAAGACTTGGGGCACACAAAAGACTGGGGGCACACTGCAAGACTGGAGGCACACTGCAAAGACTGGAGGCACACTGCAAAGACTGGAGACACACTGCAAAGACTGGAGCACACTGCAAAGACTGGAGGCACACTGCAAGACTGGAGGCACACTGTAAGACTGGAGCACGCTGCACAAGACTAGAGCACGCTGCAAAGACTGAGGCAGCTGCAAGACTGGAGGCACACTGCAAGACTGGGGCACACTGCAAGACTGGGGCACACTGCAAGACTGAGGGCACACTGCAAAGACTGGGGGCACACTGCAAGACTGAGGGGCACACTGTAAGACTGGAGACACACTGTAAAAGACTGGAGCACTGCAAAGACTGGAAGCACACTGTAAGACTGGAGACACACTGTAAAGACTGGGCACACTGTAAGACTGAGCACACTGCAAAGACTGGAGGCACACTGCAAGACTGGGGGCACACTGCAAAGACTGGGGAGCACACTGCAAGACTGGGGGGCACACTGCAAAGACTGAGGGGCACTGCAAGACTGGGGCACACTGCAAAGACTGGAGGCACATCTGCAAGACTGGAGCACGCTGCAAAGACTGGAGGCACACTGCAAGACTGGGCCACTGTAAAGACTGGAACCTGTAAGACTGGAGGCACACACTGCAAAGACTGAGGCACACTGCAAGACTAGAGGCACACTGCAAAGACTGGAGAGCACACTGCAAAGACTGGAGGCACACTGCAAGACTGGGGGCACACTGCAAAGACTGGGGGCACACTGCAAAGATGGAGGCACGCTGCAAGACTGGAGGCACGCTGCAAAGACTGGAGGCACGCTGCAAAGACTGGAGGCACACTGCAAAGACTGGGGGCACACCTGCAAAGACTGAGGCACACTGCAAGACTGGGGGCACACTGCAAAGACTGGGGGCTGCAAAGACTGGGGGCACACTGCAAAGACTGGGCACACTGCAAGACTGGAGGCAGCTGCAAAGACTGGAGGCACGCTGCAAAGACTGGAGGCACAGCTGCAAAGACTAGGGCACGCTGCAAAGAACTGGAGCACGCTGCAAGACTGGAGGCACGCTGCAAAGACTGGCACGCCTGCAAAGACTGGAGCACGCTGCAAGACTGGAAGCAGCAAAGACTGAGCCCGCTGCAAAGACTGGGAGCACACTACTGCAAAGACTGGAGCACACTGCAAAGACTGGGGGCACACTGCAAAGACTGGAGGCACCTGCAAAGACTGGAGGCACGCTGCAAAGACTGGAGGCACGCTGCAAAGACTGGAGGCACACTTCAAGACTGGGCACGACTGCAAAGACTGAGCACGCTGCAAAGACTGGAGGCACACTGCAAAGACTGGAGCACACTGCAAAGACTGGAGGCACACTGCAAAGACTGGGGGCCACTGCAAAAGACTGGAGGCACGCTGCAAAGACTGGAGGCACACTTCAAGACTGGAGGCCGCGGCTGCAGACGGAGGCACGCTGCAAGACTGGAGGCACACTGCAAGACTGGGGACACTGCTGCAAAGACTGAGGAGCACACTGCAAAGACTGGGGGCACACTGCAAAGACTGAGGCACACTGCAAAGACTGGAGGCACGCTGCAGAGACTGGAGGCAGCTGCAAAGACTGGGCAGCTACCAAAGACTAGAGGCAGCTACAAAGACTAGAGGCACGCTGCAAGACGGGGGCACGCTGCAAGGACTGGGGGCACGCTGCAAGACTGGGGGCACACTGCAAGACTGGGGGCACTGCAAGACTGGGGCACACTGCAAAGACTGGGGGCACACTGCAAAGACTGGGGCACACTGCAAGACTGGGGGCACACACTGCAAGACTGGGGGCACACTGCAAAGACTGGAGGCACACTGCAAAGACTGGAGCACACTGCAAAGACTGGGGCACCTGCAAGACTGGAGCACTGCAAAGACTGGAGGCACACTGCAAAGACTGGAGGCACGCTGCAAAGACTGGAGGCACGCTGCAAGACTGGAGCACGCTGCAAAGACTGGAGGCACGCTGCAAGACTGGAGGCACGCTGCAAAGACTAGAGGCACACTGCAAGACTAGAGGCACGCTGCAAAGACTGAGGGCACGCTGCAAGACTGGGGCACGCTGCAAAGACTGGGGCACACTGCAAAGACTGAGGCACACTGCAAGACTGGGGGCACACTGCAAAGACTGGGGCACACTGCAAAGACTGGGGGCACACTGCAAGACTGGGGGCACACTGCAAAGACTGGAGGCACACTGCAAGACTGGAGGCACACTGCAAAGACTGGAGGCACACTGCAAAGACTGGGGCACACTGCAAAGACTGGAGGCACACTGCAAGACTGGAGGCACACTGCAAAGACTGGAGGCACACTGCAAAGACTGGAGGCACACTGCCTGCAAGACTGGAGGCACACTGCAAAGACTAGGCACACTGCAAGACTGGAGGCACACTGCAAAGACTGGAGGCACTGCAAAGACTGGAGCACACTGCAAAGACTGGAGGCACACTGCAAAGACTGGAGGCACGCTGCAAAGACTGGAGGCACACTGCAAGACTGGGGCACGCTGCAAAGACTGGAGGCACGCTGCAAAGACTGGAGGCACGCTGCAAAGACTGGGCACACTCGCGACTGGAGGCACTGCAAAGACTGGGGCACGCTGCAAGACTGGGGGCATGCTGCAAAGGATGGGGCACTCTGCAAAGATTGGAGCACCTGCAAAGACTGGAGGCACGCTGCAAGACTGGAGGCACGCTGCAAAGACTGGAGGCACACTGCAAAGACTGGGGCACACTGCAAAGACTGGGGGCACACTGCAAGACTGGGGCACACACTGCAAAGACTGGGGGCACACTGCAAGACTGGGGGCACACTGCAAAGACTGGGGGCACCTGCAAAGACTGGGGGCACACTGCAAGACTGGGGACACACTGCAAAGACTGGGGCACACTGTCAAAGACTGGGGGCACGCTGCAAAGACTGGAGCACGCTGCAAAGACAGGGCACGCTGCAAAGACTGAGGGCACCCTGCAAAGACTGGGGGCACACTCAAAGACTGGAGGCACACTGCAAAGGCTGGAGGCACACTGCAAGGCTGGAGGCACGCTGCAAAGACTGGAGGCACACTGCAAAGACTGGGGGCATGCTGAAAGGATGGGGCACTCTGCAATGATTGGAGGCACACTGCAAAGACTGGAGGCACGCTGCAAGACTGGAGGCACACTGCAAAGGCTGGAGGCACGCTGCAAAGACTGGAGGGACACTGCAAAGACTGGGGCACGCTGCAAAGACTGGGGCATGCTGAAGAAAGGATGGGGCACTCTGCAATGATTGGAGGCACACTGCAAAGACTGGAGGCACGCTGAAAGACTGGAGGCACGCTGCAAGACTGGGCACACTTCAAACACTGGGCACGCTGCAAAGACTGGAGGCACGCTGCAAGACTGGAGGCACACTGCAAAGACTGGAGGCACACTGCAAGACTGGGGAGCACACTGCAAGACTGGGGGCACACTGCAAAGACTGGAGGCACACTGCAAAGACTAGAGGCACGCTGCAAAAGACTGGGGCACACTGCAAAGACTGGGGGCACACTGCAAGACAGGCTGCAAAGACTGAGGCACACTGCAAAGACTGGGGCACACTGCAAAGACTGGGGGCACACTGCAAGACTGAGGGCACACTGCAAGACTGGGGGCTGCAAGACTGGGGCACACTGCAAAGACTGGGGGCACACTGCAAGACTGGGGGCACACTGCAAAACTGGGGGCACACTGCAAGACTGGGGGCACACTGCAAAGACTGGGGCACACTGCAAGACTGGGGGCACTGCAAAGACTGGGGGCACACTGCAAAGACTGGGGGCACACTGCAAGACTGGAGGCACACTGTAAGACTGGGGGCACACTGCAAAGACTGGAAGCACACTGCAAGACTAGAGGCACGCTGCAAAGACTGAGGGCACGCTGCAAAGACTGGGGGCACACTGCAAGACTGGGGGCACACTGCAAGACTGGGGGCACACTGCAAAGACTGGGGGCACACTGCACAAAGACTGGGGGCACACTGCAAGACTGGGGGCACACTGCAAGACTGGGGGCACACTGCAAAGACTGGGGGCACACTGCAAGACTGGGGGCACACTGCAAAGACTGAGGCACACTGCAAAGACTGGGGCACACTGCAAGACTGGGGCACATCAAAGACTGGGGCACACTGCAAAGACTGGGGCACACTGCAAGACTGGGGGCACACTGCAAAACGGGGGCACACTGCAAAGACTGGGGGCACTGCAAGACTGGGGCACACTGCAAAGACTGGGGGCACACTGCAAAGACTGGGGGCACACTGCAAAGACTGGGGCACACTGCAAGACGGGGGCCTCTGCAAAGACTGGGGCACACTGCAAAGACTGGGGGCACACTGCAAGACTGGGGGCCTGCAAAGACTGGGGCACACTGCAAGACTGGGGGCACACTGCAAGACTGGGGGCAGCTGCAAAGACTGGGGGCACGCTGCAAAGGCAGGGCACCTGCTGCAAAGACTGAGGGCACGCTGCAAAGACTGGGGGCACGCTGCAAGACTGGGGCACCTGCAAGACTGGGGCACACTGCAAAGACTGGGGCACTGCAAAGACTGGGGGCACGCTGCAAAGACTGGGGGCACTGCAAAGACTGGGGCACGCTGCAAAGACTGAGGCACACTGCAAAGACTGGGAGCACCTGCAAGACTGGGGGCACACTGCAAGACTGGGGGCACACCACAAGACTGGGGGCACACTGCAAGACTGGAGGCACTGCAAAGACTGGGGGCACACTGCAAAGACTGGGGGCACACTCCAAAGACTGGAGGCACACTGCAAAGACTGGAGGCACCTGCAAAGACTGAGGGGCACGCTGCAAAGACTGAGGGCACTGCAAGACTGGGGCACACTGCAAAGACTGGAGGCACGCTGCAAGGCTGGAGGCACACTGCAAAGACTGGGGGCACTGCAAGACTGGGGCACACTGCAAAGACTGGGGCACGCTCAAAGACTGAGGGCACGCTCAAAGACTGGGGCACGCTGCAAGACTGGGGCACACTGCAAAGACTAGGACTGCAAGACTGGGGGCACGCTGCAAAGACTGGGGCACGCAAAGACTGGAGGCACGCTGCAAGACTGGAGGCACTGCAAGACTGGAGGCACACTGCAAAGACTGGAGGCACTGCAAAGACTGGAGGCACACTGCAAAGACTGGAGCACACTGCAAGACTGGGCACCTGCAGGACAGGCACACTGCAAAGACTGGAGCACACTGCAAGACTGGGCACACTGCAAAGACTGGAGCACACTGCAAGACTGGGCACACTGCAAAGACTGGGCACACTGCAAAGACTGGAGGCACACTGCAAGACTGGAGGCACTGCAAAGACTGGAGCACACTGCAAAGACTGGAGCACACTGCAAGACTGGAGGCACATTGCAAGACTGGGCTTGCAAGACTGGAGCACACTGAAAGGATGGGGCACACTGCAAAGACTGGAGCACACTGCAAAGACTGGAGGCACACTGCAAAGACTAGGCACACTGCAAAGACTGGGGCACACTGCAAGACTGGGGGCACGCTGCAAAGACTGGAGGCACACTGCAAGACTGGGGGCATGCTGCAAAGGATGGGGAGCACTCTACATGACTGGAGGCACACTGCAAAGACTGGAGGAACTCTGCACAGACTGGAAGCATCTGACTGGAGGCACACTACAGAAGACTGGAGGCACACTGCACAGACTGGAGGCACACTGCAAGACTGGAACACAATGCACAGACTGGAGGCACACTGCAGAACACTGGAGCACACTGCAAAGACCGGAGCACACTGCACACACGGCTGGACCAGTCTCACTTTATAAAACAGGTATAGTATGATGAATATTAACTACATAAAGCGGAAACTTTTAACATATCGTACCAGATTTGTCTTTACGCTTGCAGAGGTTAACATGGTTTTCCAATTTGGTGTAAATTACTTCCATGGGGGAATTTGGCATTTTTGGGAACAGAGTCCATCAGACAGAACTGATGGTTGTAATTTTGGGTCCTTATGCTTCGTTCCTCATGAACATCAGCAGCAAAAGATTGAAATAGACTGAACTCGGAAAGTGATATCAGATGTGACCTGACAAAGTTATCCCCATGGATTCAAGAAATGGCCACCAACCGAAATGACATTCAATGAAAGTTGGATTTCATGTTCAATATTATAATTACTGTATAATACACAATTTGAAATAAAGTAATGGTAAAAATTCAATAGCAATTTTATTTGCAGTCATTCATTTCATGACAATGAAGACAGTGGCTTCGACAAAAAGTTATGAAAAAATACATTTAAAATCTATGTGGGGCTAATGAGTGTTGTTGTCAGATTTGTTTTTGGGGCAATGCTTAAAACTAATTGGGAACGAGAATAAGTTAACGATACTGGTTGTTGGTTGACTAATTCTGATATCCTCTCTCTCACCTTTTCTTATATTAATTATTTTACTGTTCTCTTTTCCCTTTTCTCTCCTAGTTTCTTTCCTTCTCCTTCAAATTATCATTTTGCATTTTTTTGCGTAAAAGCAAATAATTCCAGAACAAACAAAATGCTCGAACAAGAGTTATTCAGTCGCTTATAAAATCTAAAGACGGAAAATAGTTTCAAATTAAGCAAAGGCATTGTTGAGGCTTTATGCTTTTGTTAAGCTGGAATACAATCAAGAAATTTTCCACCGAGGCTGTTGCCAGGAACACATCCGGCAAAATGTAATTAGTTACATTGTGGGGATTCTGGCAGGTGGATATTGTACTGAAATGGGTTTGAATTCGTTTAGGAAGCAAAGTATAAGTTCAATCCTACGAGACCCAGTACTATCAGTATCACTATCACTACTGACTTGTCGTACAACTACAGCTGGATCACAAATATCCAGATCACAAGGAATGATGTTATGTCCCTACCTCTATATCATCTCATGGTAACGACTTCGATGCTGAAATCGTATGAAGAAATAGGCTTGGCATGCAAGATCTGATTTGTTATGTTTTGGGAGAGAATTGCTCTCAGAGCAGAAAAGAAAACTACTGAGTATGTGTGTCATATTTCAAAAAGGATTTACTGTATTTTCTATTGGCGTTGAAAAAGTTATTAAATTTGTTTGTGATGAAATGGGTGAAATTCTATCGTTACCTAAATTTAGAGAAACAGACAGACACCATAACACCCGTCGAAAATATCTTAATTCCTTACAGTTTTATCTAAGACAAGGAGGGAAAAGGGTCCCATAAGTGGGCTAGACTTGACGGATACAAGATGTCTCAGAATTCATCTTTCCTCCCGGTATTTAAATCACAGATAACTGAATATCTGGCGGTAATTACAGAATGCATATGGCTTTATTCTCAAGACATAAATACTTTACGGTACAGAGTTATGATAGTTTCTGTAAAATAAAAAAAATGGCACCACCATAGTGAGGAAACAGTGAATAATTATGGACTGCCGAATTATCTGAAATACAATACTGGACAACGTTCATTTGGCAAAGATTTATAATAAATACTAGAGGAATCACGCCTCCGGAGCTCTTTCACCCTAGGTTCAAGATTTCTTAAGAGCATTATAGGAGTTAATCTTGAGTGTGAGGTGATGAGGAGGCATTCAGCGGGCTCCAAAATTAAAATTCTGCATGGTACTGGACTGCTTGGTCCTGGTCGATTACTGTATCAACAGATTTGAATGAGGTCTCACTGCCTGGAAGCTGTCTGAGTAGTCATGTTGATTTCAGCCACTGTTTCATTCTTTGGTGCTAGAATTGCGTTCACGCAGCCTTGATCCTTGTAGTGGTGGATAATGTTTGGGTAGACCATGTTAGTGAGCTAAGTTGAGGACTTTCATATTTCCGTCCTTTTCAACCTCTGTGTGGTTTAACAGGTCGGGTTGGGTGTGTCGGATCGGGTTGGTTGGAGGTTTGTTTTGAGATCTCCACATGACACTTGCTATCCATGCCAAGTTTGGTCCGGGCGGCTCATTCGCTTCTAGGCACGGTAGGACGCCAAGCCTCAGGGAGCTCATTGTCTCACTGTTCAGTCCCCAAAATTTCTTCTTCTTCATCAATATTTCATTAACGGTGTATGTAAGTTCCACTACAACGGTACAGCAAAGTATATTTTTTAGCATTAAACTGTATTATTTATTGCCTTATCATCACTACATATCACCACCCATCATCACTACATATAACATCATCCATCATCACTACATATAACATCATCCATCATCACTACATATAACATCATCCATCATCACTACATATAACATCATCCATCATCACCTATAACATCATCCATCATCACTACATATAACACCCATCATCACTACATATATATCATCATCATACATATAACATCATACTACATATAACACCATCCATCATCACTACATATAACACCACCTATCATCACTACATATAACATCATCTCACTACATATAACACCATCCATCATCACTATATATAACACTCATCCATCATCACTACATTTAACACCATCCATCATCACTACAGATCGGCAGTAGGTTCCAAGATTCTCGTGGACACACAAATACACATACTTCTTTGTTTTATATATATATATATATATATATATATATATATATATATATATATATATATATATATATATATATATATATATATATATATATATATATAGATTAATTAAATGTAATGGAACTACTTTCAGTAAATGCCTAAAATAGCTAGAAGATATAAGATACACTACACTTCCAGTTAAAGTTTCATAAATAAATATTATAAAAATGTTTTGTTGAGTATTTTATTATTTTATTTTCAAAAGACCCAAATTAAATTACATTTTATAAATATTAAAAAAATATTCGATGCTGTACAATATTAATGATATATTGTTTAGTTGCTAAAAGTTATGTTTGCCCTTATTCTATTTTTTATTTTTCTAATATAAAATGGACTGAGCGAGATACGTGACAGCGTTCTCTGTGAAGGATGATGTAAATGACCTGGATTTACATTAAGTTTCATTGGTGCATCATGAGCAAGAAAATGAAAATACTCCACCTCTAGGACATACAGACGCCTAAATGGACTGTATGGTACTTAACATGCATCATGATTATCACTTGTTATTTCACATGGATAACCAGTCACAGGAAGGTGATGAGATGCTGAATTAATTATTGGGATGGCTGGTAAGTTGATTAATAATCTTGACGAAGACTAATTACCTATCCATTAGATGACATGCTCTTGGATGTTCCAGTGTCAGATTAGGTCATCCTTCCCTCGTCTCTCTGTAGTGTGTGTAGTCGTATGATGGGTGCCATCTACAGATTGTGTGAGAGTAGTGGGCGTAGTCTACAGGTTGTGTAATGTAGTGGGCGCCGTTAGTTGTGTAGTATAATGGGCGTCGTCTGCAGGTTCTATTATTGTAATGGGCGTTGTCTATAGATTGCGTAGTGTAGTGGGCGTCGTCTACAGGTTGTGTAGTGTAGTGGGCGTCGTCATTAGGTTGTACAGTATAGTGTAGTGGGCGTCGTCTACAGGTTGTGTCGGATACAGGCTGTGTATGAAGTGGGCGTCGTCTACAGGTTCAATAGTGTAGTGGGCGCCGTATACAGGGTTGTGTAGTGTAGTGACCATCGTTTACAGGTTGTGTAGTGTAGTGGCCATCGTCTACAGGTTGTGTTGTGCAGTCGGTGTCGTCTAGGTTGTATAGTGTCGTCGGTGTCGTCTACAGTTCTCTGCGACGTGTCAGTGACTCAGTTCCAGTCACCAATCATTGAAATATAAAAGCATTTGGTAAATCAAACTACAAGTTTGTAATATGGTGGTGGTGACTGTTGGTCCAGTCTCCTAATTCAATAACGTGTCAGAGGATGTTGAAGACACCAGTGCAAGATTAGGAACCTGACTACCTCTCGGGTTCACAGTGTTAGTTCTGAACCTTGTCGGTGACTCTTGGATGCATCTGTTAGCTTGAAAATGTATTTATGAGTACTGCTTGTGAGAATGGTCCTGTAGCATTATGGTTACTGAGACACGTAAGGACAATAAGAGTAATGAGTTATACGGATTCGCCAGGGTGAGAGGCAAGAGATAGTGCGCAACCTTTCCTCAGGCCATCTTCACATCACTACTAAATTTTAACTGTCAATCTTAAACGCTGGAAATGCATAAGGAACACACACACACACACACACACACAAGAACATAAGAATGGAGGAAACTGCAGCGGGCCTTTTGGTCCATACTGGGCAGTCCCATTTACACCCATCCTATTGCTCATATATCCATCTAACCTATGTTTGAAGCTATCCAACGTATTTGAGTAAATGATGATGTTTGTAACTTATTCCACTCATCCACTACTCTATTTCCAAACCAATGTTTACCTATTTCACGCCTAAATCTAAATTTGTCTAACCATTGTTACGAGTTGGCTCCTCCTGGTTGGATAGTTTGAGTACCTTTGTAATATCCCCTTGTTTAGCCCTGACTTCCATTTATACACCTCTATCATATCGCCCCTCACTCTACGTCTCTCAGGGTAGTGCAAATTAAGATGCTTCAACCTGTCTCAATGCTCAAGGTTCCTAATGCCCGGAATTAGTATTGTCATTCACCTCTGAATTCTTTCTAAGGATTCTATATCCATTCTGCAATACGTGTCCAGAATTCAACTGCGTAATCCAAGTGAGGTCTCACAAGCGCAAGATATAGTTTTAGGATGACCTCTAGTCGTGTAACTATCACTCATTTGTATGAACCCAAGTACTTTAT